GCGGAGTGGTTGTTGGCGAAGACGCTGGGGGTGTGCACTGCCAGGGGCGCCAGTAAGGCTTTTAAGTCCTGTCCGGGGAACGAAAAGGCACTGTTCATGCAGGACACCGAGTTGGGAGACAGAACCTCCTCGTAAAAACTGGAGGTGGTGCTGTAGGAGGATGCGGTGGTGGGTGGCGGAGGGGTCCTGGACGTGGGGCTGTCAAGCAGAGGAGACTCCAATCCATGGTGGGTGGAAAAGCCGGAGAAGCTGAGGCTGTGGTGAAGCTTTGGTCTGTCCCTCTGGGCGTAGCTGAGCTGCTGCTGCTGCAGGACCTCCCTCTGACCGTAGCCGCACAGCTCCCGCGCCGACCTGGACTCCCGCGCCTGCACGTTAGCATTGGCGGCCGGTGAAATGTGCGGCACGGCTCAGTTTTGTACTTGGGGTGGCGGGACAAGCTCCTCAATTCGTGGTAGCCGTGGGCAAACTGACATTTCTCCCCATACTTGCACGACCCGTTCTCCTCGAAAGGCCGACACAGCTCGGTCTTGTAGCGGGTGGAGTTGATTTGAGAGCCGGGCTTCTGCTGCACTGCGCCCCGGTCTGCGTTCTCGCTATAAGCTCGTTCGCGGAACTTGTTCTCCTTGTTCATGAGGGCTGTGGCGCTGCTCGGTGTGTTCTCCTTTACACTGCTGTAAGAGCTCATGGAGTATTTGTTGCCGTTGTTCATCGCTTCCACGTTGTTGGCTGAGTTTCTGCGGAAAAATCCCGGCGTGAAAGAGCCCCCGGAGCACGGAGTCGTGGCCGGAGCCCCCACCGCCTTCTTGTCCAGCATGCTGTTGATGTGGATAGCGTTCATGTTCATGCATTTATCTTGCTGTTGGAGAGAAAAGACGCGAGTTAACAATGCACCAACTCTGGCTATTAGGACAACATGGCATGTTTAAGACAACTTTGCCTGCAACATTACAACCTGTTGCTGAGTGCGCGTTTGACTCTACGTTCGTGTTTTACTGTAAATGCAAACATGAAATACTTTTGGTACTTTTAAGATTTTACCTTGTAAAGCATGTCCATGTCATAGAAGTTAGACAACAAGGTCTCAGACATCTCTTTTCCCCAAATCTGCTGTCGCACTCCCTCTTTCATGGAGGACCAACCAGGATCCTTGAATGCGACGAGCAGTAGTTTGTGCCACGACTGGTTTTGGTTGTGGAAAAGTTTAGAAAGGTTTTTGCGCAGTTAAAGTCCGCAGAATGGGGGACGGGGACGGACACGTTTGTATTGTTGAGCTGAGGATGATTTATTTGCCCCCGCGGAGAAGCACTGAGCCAGAGTGCTTTACTGTGCGCTCCAGACTTTTTGATCGGTATAAATGCCTGACGGTGGCCAGGGAGGGGCGAACTCAAGTCGGCACAAACTTTTGCGAGGAGCCGCCTCCACCCCTCCTCTGCGAAAAAACCCTTCCATTCACCGGTTGGCCGACTATTCTCTAACACCACGCCTTGAAATCCAACACAGCTACCCCGCCTTTCCTCCACACACCCCTCCTATTTTTTTAAAATCTCACAACCAGTTTAGTGGAAGTTGGTTTTGCTTTTTTGGTTTGACTATCCCCGAGAAAAAATGTGGAGTCATCAAGTGAGGTCTGCTATGCATGCAAGCAAATTAACCACACATTCACACCTGTGAAGCTCTAGGTGGGTCGGGGCTGGGAGCCTTGCTCAGAAGTTCCTTGAGCGAATTTAAATAAAGGATTAGACAAAACGATTGGTCAGACATCCTCTACCATCCAGCAAAAAGTCGACAAGTATGCAGCAGCAAACCTCCTGTGACAAAGGCCACCTTTCTAGCCTCTGGACCCCCACACTTGGAAGCTGACACATGTATTGTAATAGAAGGAAATTCTGCCTCTCCCTCCCTTTCCCCGTGAATGGGGTGAGACCACAAGTATGAGCAGAGCGGAGTCCAGGCAGAGTGCAGCACAATTTTTAGAATCCACTGGTTGCATAATCAACTTCTACAGGGCAATAGCAGCCTTCCCCGTGTACTACACATGGAAAACTAGTCAATGCCCACTGTGACTCACAGGACCCACTTTTATATTGTTAACTAAACTTAATGGCAAAATGCGGACTTTAGCTTAAGATTAGAAATATGTCACCCATAAAGCACAACATGGTGAGCCATGATAAAAACAAATGGACCTGACTTGGTGAATCATTTTTAAAGCACTCTTCTAAGTTCCTTTCTAAAATGTTTTCCCCCAAATCTCAGAGTCCAGACTGCAGGAATGTGATTGTCCTCTGGAGCAGCAGAGCAACACTGCCCCCGTGAGAGCAACACGAGACATGACTGTGAAAGACAGAGGCACCATCTGCTGAGCTGGAGCAAGACAGTCGAGACAAACTGGCTGTAATAGTGCCATGCTTTTACTGGCTCCTATAGAGAATTTTTCTTTTTTTGTTTCTTCTCTCCACACAAACACCAGATCACTGTCGAGCAAAGAACAGTACTCGATTAGGGATGTTTTGTTTATTTCTGCAAGCCCTGCTTCCTTCATTATTCCAAATAACAGAGCCACCCAGTCACCACAGTCCAGAGAGTGCAGTGCGGTTAGAATAAGCTGCCCCTGTCTTAGCATGAAACCTTTCCAGGAAGCAACAACATTCACATGAAAATGGCAAACTACTCAAGTAAAAAAACAAACAAAAAAAAACTGTGAAACATCACCAGAAATTGCTGGTTTATGCAACACTGGTAACAATTAAGTCTTTTCCATACAGGATCATAATTGGAAGAGTGGTTATGAAAGTGTTTTTTCTTTGTGTGACATGAGTCAATATTCTCTTAAGTGTTCAACGGTTTGGTTGGAGAAAAAAAAAAGGAAAATAGTAACGGGCAAAAAACAAGTGACATAAGAGTTTGGAATCTTCTACTACCAAACCTAAAATTAGGCTGTGGGCTGTCCCAGGACTATTTGGTCTTTGCAAGTTGTGATAAATAGTTCTAATGTGAAGGACAGACACGGTGGGGCTCTTAAGAAATCCCTTGAACACGTCCTAGTCCGCAGAAACCACTCTCCCATCATATAGCTCTGTTTATGTTGGGGGCTATTGAGCTGACGTCAGTTTTACTGTAATAGGGAACATGGCTACCAGCAGAGGGAGGAGGGCCCAGTTGTATGAGGGCAGCATGAGTCCTCACACACACACGGAGGACAGTAGTCCATTGTGAGGTCCTCTCAATTACATAACCAGGAAAATTAGAGGGAAGCATAAAAACAGTCCGATGGGAAGAATCATGCAGCCAATTAAATATCAAAGGAAAATAACACCTTGTGTAAACACACAGTAGAACTCTAAACATACAATGAAATACAACTTTGGTGAGGTGTCAGTGCAAACATTTGCTTTCACAATCCCGTGCCTTGGTCATGAAGCTCAGCGGGCACCACAGTCACACCACTGATAGTTAGTGCTTGAAGGTTTAGGTGCTAAGTTTTTCTGTTCCAGCCTTAAATCCCCGGTAGACATGGAGGAAGCAGAACAGTCTGTTTACCCAGTAGCTGACGTTTGTCACGCAACAGAGGCCCTCTGATGAGAACAGTGCATCAAGTGTTGTTGTGCACAGTTTGGCGTGAATTATTGTTATGGCTTCCCCAGACATATTCACACAATACTGATATTATTGCTGCTAGTTTTTCTTTCCTGCTCCTGAATAACATTAAAGAAGTGAGACATTCATCTTTGTCTTTTCTTTCAAGAAACACTGAACACTGGAATCGAAAAGGTCGTAATTTCAGATATTTAATTAAAACAAGGAACAGAAGCATTAACAACTGAACACATGGTGATCAGTGAGGACAATGTGCAAGATAAAATAAAAGTACAGAGTAAAAAAAATTCCTATTGATTTGATAATAAAATGCCAGCCTGTGATCTCACGTTACTTCACTGAAGCTGGTCATGAAAAATCTTGATTTTCGAGGAACTTTCCCTAAAATACAAAAAACAAAACAAAAAAGGTGCTACTAGAACCAAATTTTGCTAATTCCACAGCCTCTCTAGCACATCCAGGGCCAGTGTGGCCCTCTGCAGCCGCAGTGTCAGCTGGGCATGCTCCATGGTGCAGGAGAACTGGGACAGGGCAGGCAGGGAGGCCAGGCCCTGCTGAGAGCTGAGGGACTTGTCTCGCGCCTGACTGGACAATACGCTGATTCGGTGGACCTGGTCCGGCTCTAAGGGCCCTGGCTGCTGAGTCTGCTTGAAGGTCAGGATGAGGGAGGTGAGTTTTCTGTGAAGCAGCTTCAACCACTGGCCTGGCTCAGCCCACAGATTCAGATCCCCCTTCTTGAACAGGAAGTCCTCTTCGTCCTGGTCACAAGCAAAAAGTCCCTTTACTGTAGGTCAATCTAAACCTGTACTGACTGTTTTTTAAGCCTCTTTGGGGAAGTGGAACAAGTTGTGACATAGTGCAACATCACTGCATCATGTTTCTGGCCAACTGACAAATGTACTGTAAATCAAATATTTACCAAATCTAAACAATCAGTTTAAAAACACTGCAAAGTCTGTTTGTCACTATAAGTGACACAGTTCACATTATGCACAGTCATGTGACCCACAGTATAAAATACTGACTAGTGCAGCTTTAAGAATACAACACCCTGGAATTGACAGCGGAAGATATTTGGGCAATCAGCCACAATAAGCCAAAATTTGCAGTTATTTGCTCACAGTTGTCTTCCTCTCAGCTCTTTAACAAAGCATCTGTAAAGTATTGGGTAGAAAGAACTCAATAACACAAGAACCCAAGCTAAACAAGCAGCTATAAAAAAGTATTTTGAAACAGAAGTGCTATCTGTCCCTGTCATTCCACACTTTACAGACACCATGTCAAACCAACATGAATTACAAGTTTAATATAGTGTTAACCAATGTTTTATTATAACCCTCAATCACAGTAAAATATTTTTTAAAATGTCATCTTTAACACTAACAACTTTGTGAAGTTACCCTGCTTCTGTGTAACAAAGGTCCACAGCAGATACTCACAACACTCGAAGCCTCATCTGCAACTGCTTCATCGTCGGCTTCTTCCTCTCCCAGCAGCCACTCTGTCAGAGCGAAGATGCCTGTGGGTACCTGCCCCCACAGCTCAAACAGCTGACACAGGAGGCCCACGCCCCAGTCCAGAGCTACTGGAGGACATACAGACACACCTGCAACATCTGTGAACCAAAGAGACCACACATACACAATGTCTGTAAACAGTGGCGTAATGAAAATAGTTTACAGACACACGACAGGTAATAATGAACACAGCCAGAATATGAATCAACAATAAACAAACACATTGATCTTTATCCAAATAACAAAACAGCTTTGATGCATGTGGTTTTGTCACCCTTTCCCAACTGTCATTAGGCGGTTGTGTCAGCTGAGCATTTAGTCTTTCAGCCTGAGCAGAAGACCTCTGCACTGGGATCTTAGGTTGTACTCAAGCTCCGAGTTTAGAGGTCAAAGATGCAACCAGGGAAGATGAATCAACAAAAGATCTCAAAAGTTGGAAGAAATATTTTCTGTGAGGACGCTGCACAGTGCAAGACTATGTTGCATTTGTAAACGCATTAGCAAGTTTGTGTGTAAAGTCTAGCTCTAGCTAGTGTCAAACTACTGTTACTCAACTGTGCTGCACCATTAGAACTTAAATGTTTAAGACATTAATCATGTGTAAAACATCTGTAGGAAAATCTGTACTGTGATTTATCAACATTGTCAGGTCAATTGTGTTGACCTCATTCCATTAGTATTATTTTTTTCATACACTAATATTTTTTGTGTAGTCAGTAAGCTACAGTATTGCAGCTATGCAGCATTTGTAACTGGCAGACTCTAGGTGTAAATATTTAGCAATAACTGATCTGTAAATTTGTATGTAAGAATGCAGAGTCTTATCTTTAGGGTTAATCTCCACTTAGTAGACATGTTAGTATAAATAGGCTAAGAGCCTAACCAAGATCTGGTCAATATCATTTTATTATTTATCTACTTTATATTTCATTTGTATTTTGTGGCATTCATGTGGAGGGCAAAGTAAGAATTTCATTGTACAGGGAAACATGTTTCCTAACTGTGCATATGACGAATAAACACTTTGACCTTACTGTTTGTTGGTAAACTAAGTTAGCTTATAGTTTTACCTGACAGTGAGTAGGTGTAAATATTTTATAAAAAACAATCTCTAAGAAATATTTCAGTATTTTAATTTATTAATACTGATAGCTCCTCTTAATAAACACCTCCTGTAAGTTATTGTGTAACTAGGCTAAATTTGCACTTAGAAAGAGCTGCCGCAACCAGCTCTAGGTAATAATCATATTCAGCACTTCTATAATGTTATCATAGTTAAGAAATGAAATAAGGAAGTGAAGTCAAGTTACCAGTTATCGCTGGTGTACAACTAACAATGTAAGAAGTCAAAAAGCTTGGGTGAAGAAACCTGCAGGAGATCTGTTAGCATGAATCATCAGTGGTGTATCCCTGTATCCAAAACAATTCAATCCAAAGTCAGACTAAAACTCAAGTTGAAATAAATAATTCTAAATATTTCAGTTTCCACAACTGAACTCTATGTAAAACTCAGACATATTTGCTCTCTAAAGAAAAACTGTGTCTGTATACGTCACTCAGTCACAAGACCAGAAACAGGAAAAACAACTTTAGTCTGTAGAATGATCAAATATGAAATAAATACACCAGGTCTGGTTCAAAATCACAACGGGAGGTGAGGGAGAAATTGGAATTCTAAGCACCTGTATGAAAACACATTCCACAGTTTTCTGCCTTCACCAGACTGTTCACAATAATCTTTCTTGTAGGTATGTAACTGCCAGTGCTCGACGAGCTGCGTCGTTTCAATGAGTGGACAGTATGTTTCAAACTTAGTGTGAGTGTGTGCGCATGTGTAATGTTCCGGAAAATAAAAGTGTAACTCATATAACCAAATACCACCAGGGTGTTGTAAGATTTGAGTCTTATAGACTCTAGTTACTTTATAAGCTTTAGTTACTTCTCATACCTTTAGTTCCCTTTCATAACTTTATCTTACTTGTCTATACATATTACAGCTGTATTGATGATTGTCCTGAACTACTGAGCTTTGGTTATTCTTAATACATTTATTTTCCTTGCTTATATATCTTACAATTGTTTTGATGAGAATCAAGTAGAATCTGCCCACTTTGAATGCTGTAATTTCTGTTGAGGGAGGATGTCTGCATCTCTTTGTGACCAGACAGCCTATTTACATTTTAGCAAAGGCCTGTTTTAGACTCACACCCCGACCCACTTAGCATATCCCAAGCTTTGCTTTGTCTTGGGATGTCCTGCAGAGGCCAGGGGCTCACCACCTGAGACACACACACACACATACCTAGATTTACCATATTCCAACATGGAAGTGCGAGCTCCGGCTCACACCAAATGACCAATAGGATCACAAACTATTGAAGGTTGCACCCCTGTCCAGGGCGGAGCAGCCCAAGAAGATAAAATGTATTGTAAGAACTTAATTCGGGGTCAGTGGATGGAACTCCGGCGGGAGCTCTATCTCCCTGATCCCAGCGCTGTAAGGCCTACCTGTGATCAGACATTCAGTAAACTTTGTTGATTTTAAACAGACCTCTCCTGTCTTCACTTCTGGTGCTTCCAACAAAAGAATTGGGTTAATTTCTAACAGTGTGTATGAGTGCACAGTGCACTGATACGCTCATGTACACAGAGCAACAGCAAATGTTGCTCTGTGTAACTTCCTGTTTCTGTGTTGATGAATGGATGGATGAGCTGCCTGCATGTGTGAAAGTACCATTCATGTGGACTTTTTGTTTTTGCGTATGGTGACCGCCAGTAATCACTCACATAATTATATTGTTTTTTTTAGCAGCTGGTAGTCTTCCACACATAGCCATATTTGAAGTGTGAGTGCAAGGACACACATTTAATGGAGGGAAATCACAACGTATGACTTCATTTAATGACTCCAGTTGTCCACACATCAACTATCTGACACAGAGGCTGTGTGTATGTGGGACTTGTTCTTCCAGCTTGACCAGCCTCGCCACAGCTGACACCCAGATAACACTCAGGACTTCAAAAGGCGTTTGAAGCCAAAACACTACCACTATGGGATGAGAGGCTGGAGGTATACCTACTCCCATCAACACACATACAGTTTAAAACAAACACATACACACACACACAGCTGGTAATCCAGATTGTTTTTCCTTTTCAGAGAGGAGGCGTAAAATTGGAGCAGAGCCTGAAGTCTGAGCAGAGAGAAAGCCTGCCTGTGAACATTAGAGGTGGTTGATTGGACCGCATTAGAGGAGCTTTAAGAGTTTAGTAGCTTGAATGACAAATTCCTTTCTTTACCAAGAAGCCACTTCTCTGTGGGACTGCCCAGCCTCTGATGTCAAGCCTTTACAGCCCCCCACACACTAGACATTAAGGAACATAATAGGAAATTTTAGCTGCATTCAATTTATCCACTTTTCTACGGAGGTTTCACACATCGCTTAACACAATTTCCCTCCTCGAGGTTTTGGCGCAAAATACTTGTTTCTCAAGGGGATTGTCTTTCATGCTGTTACTGGTTGTGTAGTTTGTGTATGTGTGGGTGTGCGGTGGGCATGAGTCTTGTCCTTTGTTACCGATTGTGTTGATAGATATTGTGAGATTATGTAAATGACAATATCGGTGGTGATATGAATGGGTTTTAGTAAGATGGGATGAGGCTGTGTATGTGTGTGCGCTGTATAGTTGATATCCACTGCCACTCTTACAGTGCATTTGAGCTGGGAAGGGGGGGGGGGGTTGGGCGCTTAATTGTGGAAACAGTTTAACAGTTGTATAGTTTTGAGCTTCTGAAGAGTTTGCAACTCAATTCGGATCTTTGGTTGTGCTCTATGTGTATATCTGCTGGAACCACAATAAGTCCTTCCCCAGACACACATGATCACCTTTCTTGAGAAACTGTACAAGGTGGCATGAAACAGCACCATTTCCAAAGAGGGGCTCTGAACTGTAACACTGTTGTCTTTTAAATGGACACAAAATTCAAACAGTCAAATCAACTTACAGCTTATGTTTATGGTCATAGGTTGTAACTCCAAGATGTGCCTCAGTCCCATACTACATTATAAAGCATTGTAATGGCTATGTAATGGTTCTAATGTCTAGCATCCTATTATATGGTTCTACATGTTTAGCATCCTGTTATATGGTTCTGCCTGAAAGAATGTGAGAGGGGGGCGCTGTGAGGTGTGTGAGAGGAGAGAGCGAGGAAGAGCAGGCAGTTGTTGTTGTTGAGTGTTGAATGTTGGGAGTTAAAAAGAGCTCGGTAGCATGTGCTGTGGCTGAAACAACAGCATGGAAGCCTGTTAAGCTATTACAAATAAAAGGACATTGATACCACAAGAACGTCTGGCTGCTTGTGTAGGAACGGAGAGTATTACATTGGTGTCAGAAGCTCGGGTTTCGGCCCCACTGCTGCTGCCTCAGGTCGTCGTAAAGACTATGGTTCCCTATTCAAGCGGCCAACGGTGGGTGAAGACTGAACCTGTTGACTGTGCGATAGCCATGCCGGAGAATGCTGAAATGCATGCAAGCAATGTTTCACCTCAGTGTTCGGCGTTGCACCACAACAGCGGCGGGGCCCGGTGTGTTTTCAGCAAAGACGGCGACGCCCTGCGGCTCGCTATGGCCGGCTCGTCGGCGCCAAAGTTTTCTGGCAAAGGTAGTTGCCTACCATGCTCAGTTCGAACTGCTGGCATCCGCTGCAGGCTGGTCAGACCGGATTAAGGCTGTTCAGCTGGCCCTGTCGCTGACGGAGGACACGGCTACATGTCTCCTGCTCCTGAGCCCTGCTGAGAGAGAGGACTATGCTATACTGGTGGGTGAATTACAGAGACTATATGGAGTGTTTGATCTGAAGGACTCATTGCTCTGTGAATTCAAACGCCGGGTCAGAAAGCCAGGTGAATCGCTCCGTACCCTGGCACATGACATTGAGAGCTTGGGCAGGCGTGCATATGCCAGTTTGCCAGGTGTGACTCAGAGTGAGCTAATCTGTGATCAGTTTGTCCACGCCCTGACTCCTGTTGGCCTACGCCTGCATGTGCAGCTTGTGCGTCCTGTGACTCTGAGTGGGGCACTGGAATTAGCCTTAGAG